AACAGACTGCAATATTAATTTTATTTACTATGCAGCCTCGTTGGCATCATATCCGGCACCACAGCAAGACTGCTTACAAATGGCATCGAGTACTGTTTCGAGAGCGGAGAATTCAAAGAAACCATGAGCATCTTTCACGTGCCGTATACGTTACGTGTTCTTCAATCCAATGATGTCGAACATTAAGTTAAGTAACTCTTTATGTAACTATTTTAACACTTATGTCGATCTTGATTGTTCGTTTTTTGTGAGGTAGCATCCCTAATTTATGGGGTGTCAATTGTCCTGTATGCCTTGAGTTGTACGATGTGAGTGGTATTACAGTCACTCCACTATTTGGCTGACTTACTATTTTGAGATTTGCGTCCCTTTGCCAGGGACTCTTGTGAGCAGGTTTAGAGTTTGGTAATTTGTTTGTAAGGTGACAACCACTTGGTCTAAAGTGTTGGACGTGTATGCCGGTTATGGCTACTTCTCCACGGTATGTATTTGCGTCAACCGAAATTGATAATTCGATCTTGGAGTACTGAAGAAATATGTATTCTCCCACGTTATTAGTTGATTGTCGATATAATAAGACAGGTAAATGTTGACTGGTGTTAGATTGTAGGAACGTTTTTTTTTGTTCTTGTTCAAATTCAACGTTCGTTGTTAAGACGCGTCTCTCGCTTGACAATTATTCGTTCGTGTGGAAAAATCAGGGCTATTTTGGATTCTTCCAAGATTCTAGTTATGGTCGTAGGTATTGTGTATCCAAGGCGTTTTACTTTGGAATTTGGCATTTCCATCGCGCCATGTTTATTCACAAAAATACCAAAGCGAAGGTAAGTTGTTGGTCAGTTGCGTGTGTGTGACTTGGTTTTTGGTGAGCTTGCATCAACGTAACGATTTATTTTAAATTCTAAAGCTATTTCAAACCGTGCATGTTTGAAGGAATCAATAAACACTGTAATCCACAATAGGTATATTTGTGCCTGTTTTCAGCATGTTAGATAAGCGAGTTAGGAATTTAATGCGCATGAATGGGACTACGCCATGCTTCCGTACATGACGGCCATGACGGCCATGGTGGTTTATAATGTTAAACAAGAAGGTAAGAGTGTATGTGGTAAGCGTTCTGTATAGCATTGTTGAAAGTTCAACCTGGCGAGCACTCGTTGAAGCTCACTGTTTGTTATTAGGAAAGATTTGAGCGGATAACCAGTGGTGAGGATTGCATGTAACAGTAAATACTTAGAAGGTCATACACCGTGTGTGTTTTTATACTGACACGTCCTCAACTGGCTATGGCAGATGTGTTGATCAAGAAGGTAAGTGGTCTCTATAAGGACACGTTGGAAGTTCAACCTAGAAGAAACTCGTTGCATTTCACCGTATATTATTATGAAACAATCAAGTTTTGAAGGCTTAAACGTGCAATTGCGCACAAATAACTAGATCGTGGCGAAGATGGCGAGAGTCTAACGTAGAGTACCTGAGTTACAGGATATAGCCTCTGGGCAGAATGCTCTAGCCAATGGGCTTAGTAAACATGTTGTTTACAACGATTGTAGTATTTGGTTTTGATGCTTTCAATGAGCTTGATGCCCTGTGGGATCCACATTTCAGTGGATATGTTTGCTTTTTGACAGCAACAGTAAATTACGGAAGGAGTATCAGTAACGATGCTTTAAAGGAGCTTTGGTGTCCTGTGGGATCCACATTTCGGTGGATATGCGGATAACCAGGAAGTAGTGAGGATTGTATGTAA